TATATATATATATATATATATATATATATATATATATATATATATATATATATATATATATATATTGTACTTTCAATATATTTATACAAAGAAATCCTTGTTGGTTTGACCAGTTTGTCCAGTAAAGTAAGAACTGAAACAGAAGCATACCTCTGCAATCTATTTACTAGTTCAGTAAATAAAAGTTCAGTAAATAAACAAGCATTCTGAGAGTATTGCATTAGCAATAGATGGTTTTCCTATGACATATTTTTCCTCAGAGTTATTCCCCTTGGCCACCATCTTGTAGGTCAAAGTAGTGAATTTTCCTCTTTGAGCAACCAATTTTAAAAATGCATGCCAAAAATATATGGTAAAAAATATTTACAATATTGAAATTATGAATTAAAAGTAGCATTAACAAACATATATTCATAAGAAAAACAGTGTTGTCCTCACCTCAGTGCCCAGTATAACAAACTGAACTTGGTTGAATAATGAAGGGATATGGGGATATTGACCTACAATATGGCGGCCATGGGAAACAACTCTTGCTTAAATCACCTTGATGGAAAACCATCTATACTAGTCCCCTAACGGCAAGTGTAATCTGGTTCCCGTTAAAAATTGAAAATGCCACAATTCCATCAAAAATCAATGAAGCAGATCAAAATGTGAACTTGATCTATAACTCATCAAGGTAAAGTCACATGCCAAAAATCAGCTCAATATATTCAAGCATTTAGAAAAAAAATTGCGGAAAACCCTGAAAAATTTAAAAGGTCTTAATTCTGTCAAAAATCATTGGAGCGGAACGAAATGCACACTTGTAAATTACGCACAAATTTTGCCCAGGACGCATTATTTCAATAAATGTGCATCCCAATGGACACAGTAAATTTATAGAAGGACATGTAATATTTTAAATTATATTGTTATAATCTGATTCAAAACTTGACCAATTGCATCATATCCACGTGCTAAGTGATATGCATGAATGATCTTAACAGGTATAAGGTTGCCAACAACTGGTCAGATTTCACAGCAGCAGTTAAAAGCAATTATCAGAAAACATTTGAGAGTTAGATATCATAATTTGATTATCACTGATTATGTCTAGATACCGTGGAACATTTCTGAAGTGAACACTATACCTTTGTATTTAAGCTGTAACCTGTATCATTGTTTTTTTTTTCTTTTCGTTTTTTCCTTACAAGCTAAGAAGTATAAAATTTAATCATTTTTATTTCTGACTATTTGTCATTTCTTAACCTTTTTTAACTTCATTCTGCTTTTGTGCATTTTATGACTGATACAATGTGTGAGATCATATGTACAATCTAAAAATAGAACCAAAGTGCACAGTGGACAATGTATTATTTTTATGACACAAAATCATTTACTCTTACTTGGACAATTGATAGTAAAAGTATAAATCACTCACAGCTAGTGACAGCTACAATAAAACATTTGCACTTTCGTGCAATAGGCCTACCCTTTTCATTTCACCAGAATTTCCTCTGTAACATCTAATACACAATACCCTTGGATTTGGACGCATTGATTTTGGCACGGGACTCATTGTTGTCATTAAGAGGGGTCCTTTGGACCCATGATAACCATTTTCAAAATGAATCACTGAAGCCTTTAGAAAAAAAATGCGGAAAACCAAGTGGGACAGACTGACAGACAGACAGAGGGACAGCTAGACAGATGGACAGACAGACAGATGGATGGACAGACTCAGAGGAAACCTATAGTCCCCTCCAGTTTCACCGGTAGTGGACTAAAAATAAAATGTCAAAGATAAGGACAAAGTCAACATAAAACTTGCTATTCATTAAGTTACAACTTAATTTATCTATAAAAGGAACTTGAAGATGACAGATATGACAGGTTACCCACAAATGTGGTTACAATGAACTACTTTCGCTTGTGTGTATGGGGGGGGGGGAGGGAGGGGGTGTGAAGTTAGTAAGAACCTCTCAGTCTCAAAAATTTGTCAGAACCAGTTTTCCAGTACTGTTTGTTAATATGAGGCTCAAATTAATCATTATATAAGCTAGCTACTTGGGACTCACAAATACAGTAGCCACTTAAAATAAGCTGGTTTTTGTCAGCATGGTATGTCTATCAATTACCAATATCTAGGACAAAGGTTAAGGCTTGGATAAACTTTGATATATTTATTGAAGACATCCAACTGACTTTCAATTACTTTAAATTAAAATGTGATACTGTATAGGGGGAAAATAACTCGCGGTGTTAATATTCGCTATATTCACGGTGTTAATCAATCCGTGAATTCAAGAAACAGTGAATAAGTTTTAAATATTAAACCTCAATGTTTTATTTGGAAATTTGAGAATAGACTAAGATAGGTATATATACGTACAATACATGGTCATTTCAGTAATTACGAGTAGTACTTGTCATTCAATTATCTTAATTATCACGCTTTACTTTAATTTAAATAAGCAGCTAATAACCTGTATTTATTGTTAAAAAGCCGTTTTAATATATACATGCTGCATCAATCAAAACACATGGGTCATTGGTTTTGATTACCCGTGCGTAACGTTACCACCTGTATTTGTTACCTACATTAGCATTATGCGTATTAGTTTTTATGGAAATTTTGGTTTAAAAAAAATACCATTCGAATAACTATCGACCTTGCTGAAGATATGGAAGGATATTATTATGTATATACATTAATACTTTTATTAGCGTCCAGTGTTTTTTTTTTTTTTGCTGCGATGTGCTATACCTTCGGAAAGATGTGTACATATGCACTCATCGTAAAAGCATATAGGAAATTCATTTGACGTTTATAGTAAAAAAAAACTTAATAACAGCACTTGTTTTTATTAATCACCAATTAACTACTAAATCTAATCATTTTATATAAACCTACCCTGTTGTTCGTGAACGCTGATTAATGTCGTTCTAGGTATACTATGGATTACACGGATAAAGACAAGGGAGGTAACTTTTATTATATACCGATTTCGCGAATTCAACAAACCGCGATCGTGTTCGAGGAGAGAAAAACGTGAAAATTACAACCCATGAAATTAATCCCCTATACAGTAATCAAAATAGACAATATACAAAGAAGTAAATGTCTTTAATTCACTAATAATATGGTCACATCTCAAGGCCAAGATAAATGAAAATGATAATTCATTCACATCCTCAAGAAATATGTGTAATTGCCAGTTTAAGTCAAATATCAAGATCACTTCCAATGGGAGTGTTCAAACCACATCTCATCCTGATTAACATATACATGTGTGAAAACAGATGATGATCTGCATGAACAAGTCATATATAACACGAATATGCCTAATTTAGTACCAATCACATGCTCCAGGCCTACGTAACCCCAATGGTAGCATGTGAATTACAACATCCTGATCTATCAATCTATCATATTAGAGGCTGTCCTTGACAAGAATAATTGTCAAAACCATTGAGTCAAATGTCAAAGCCAACTTCAAATCCAATAGTGGTACACGTTTTTCTATTTCAATCTGACTGTAACATCTTATTTATCTTGATTTTAACAAGATGATAGGAGTGGATCATACTAAACAATGATGAAGTTTTTTTTTTTATTAACTTTCAATGTCAAATATCAAGGCCAAGGTCAATGGGGTGTATTTATTACTACTTATTATATGTTAAATGTGGTTGTATGTTCGTTCGCCCTAAAACTTGTTAGCCCTTGACGCCGTTCACCCTAATTCCCGTTCGCCCAGAGTTCAATCGCCCTAAACATGCTAAAACTTTTCACACAGGGTCCATTCACCTTATTTATATTGCAGAAAGTTGAATAATGAACCAATGGATTTTTTAAATAAATTATATGTACATTGGTACATAAATTGCACACGGGAGACAACAGTCGTATGCATGTGGTCACACTATAAATACCTGTACTATCAAAGACCCAGCAGACCAACAGAAATTAACGTCTCAGTCCTTTAATTGTTTTCAAAACATAACGCAGATTGTATGATCCCCTAAATTACAGTGACATTATTAAGTACAATTAAATCAATTAAGCATGTAAAGAGCATAAAATATCAAATTTGAATTATTTAATTAAGATTATGGTAAATTAAAAAAATACTGTAGCAACATTTGAAAAAAAAAACAACACTAAGTCGTAAAATATTGAATAAAATTAATAATAATAAATGTTGATATTTACTATATACTATATATATAATATGGCGAACGAGAAACAGGGCGAACGAGATATAGGGCGAACAAGAATAATGGCGAACGGACCCTGCGCGAAAGGACTCATGCGAACAGGTAGATAGGGTGAACGAACCTGATACTGTTAAATGTATACACTAATTTCTAAATAATTTGAGGTGTGTGTGATTAATCAAAATAATACTAATGAAATGAGTAGTTATGGGAAATTCTTTTTGACTGCAAAAATGCAGAAAACATTTGTTATAACAGCACTAATATTATTTAAACATCACATTGTGGTGCCTATTTCTTATGCAATATGAGGAATGTATGAGTCAGTGTGTAGTGCAAATACATACCACTATTTCATGATGTACTTAAAAAATAAGTGGATTTCAGTGCATAATTCATTGAGTGAAAAGGTTAACTAAGAATTACTCAAAATTCTGCATTGTATTTCCAACCATTAAGGAACACTTGATATAAATTTAAACATGCAAGTAGACCAGCAAATGCATGGGTGGAGTGACACCTCTCTACACAAGTTCTATCAATTGATAATTTCCCATGTATAAATAGAATTGGAAGTCATTTTTCACACTTGCCATAGAGAAAATATTCTTGGATGACATGACTTAATCACAAAATATTAAATTCCCTTCACGATATTTTGCTGCGCCTGTAACAACGTCTAACGTTACAGATGTCATTTTCCGTCCTGCATTTGCAATATAACGATGCAATGTCTCAAGCTAATTTGTAGATCACAACAACATTAACTGATAAATGTAACTAAAATTACAACATACCTTCAAATATAATGATTCCAAATCACTAATTAAAAATCTGAAAATTTTTCGTTTGGACTCGCACTCTCTTTGGAGCCAATCGGTAATTTCCGTCAGATATGTCTCGCAGCAAATGCTCATCTCGTGATGCACTACTATGTCTAGAAGATAAATAAAAAAAACAGAATGTTCTTTTACCATACCAAAGGTCTATGCTTTTTCAGATGTTAAAAAACATCATCACTTAACTAAAATACAAGCGACTATTTTAATTGACATTAAAGGTTTAGTTAACTTGTACATTTTCATTTCGCGTTTTGCTGATCCAGATTCTTTAAAATGGGAGGGTTCCGTGAGAAAAGCTGGTAAAGCCTTCATTAAAAAAAATGTTTTTTGAGTCATTTAAGCTATAGCTACGGTGGCTGCTATCATAGGGGCTTGTCTCCCGGATTGTTAAATGTAAAATGAACTATTAAAATTTTGAATCTACTTTAAATACACTTGAAAAGTTCTTACAATAAAGATTCTGACACTTTCAGACAAGAAAACCATGTTTCTGAAAATCGTAACACACCTATATACATAAACTCTAGGTATGGTAAGTTTTTTCAAACATTTTTTTTTTTGTCTGAAAGTGTCAGAATCTTTATTGTAACAACTTTTTAAGTCCCCCCCCTCCCCCCTCGCACTCGTACTACCGGCTTTTTTGAAAAGGCTTTATATCCAAAAATGGAAAGGCGTTATTTTACATTAATAAATACATAATAGGTTGAATCAAAGCCATTTTATCTATGCAATATAAAGTATTTTCTATATCCCTGCACATCTTGCAGACAACTGTTTGCATGTGTATTAAGAGAAGTCAACACTCTACTTGTGAAAATCCAGGATATAGGCAGATGCAGCTTGGGGCTTTGCTGACCATGTATTAAAAATTCATGTCAAATTTGAAAATATTTTTTTCTCCTCTTGGGAAAAAGCAGGCAAACAACTTGCATGGGTATAATGAGCAATTAGCCTTCAACCAATTTTGTGAAATCCATGATCCTTGGTAGAGGTGTCTGGCATCAGAGAAGGACTAAGTTGGTTTAACATTGAAAATATATTACACATTTAAAAAAATCTTTTTTTTTCCTTGAAATTTAATCACAATATGTTTAAATAATTTTTTGAGAAAATAGCCCTATATTTAATTGTGAAATTCATGTCCCGAGGATAAGATTTCAGCCCCCGGGATGGGCTAAGTTAGTCATGTATTGAGAATAAAAGGCGTGATAACACCTTTTGGAAAGGCCGTAATAACGCCTTTTGAAAAGGCGTAATAACTTTTTTTTCGCGTTGTTACGCTCTTTTGTGTTATTACCATGGCCGTAGGAACCGGGGGGACACGGGGGCCGTGCCCCTCCCCCATAATTTTGCCGATATATAGAATACTATAGAAAACGTAACTATTATATGCTTGTGTCCCCTCAATAATAACGTCTGATGACTTCTTCTTCTTCTTTTTTTTTTTTTTTTTTTTTTTGGCTTGTCAAGGAATTTTGCCGGGTAGTTGATAGTGCCCCCCCCCAAAAAAAAAACTGAAAATGTATGGCTGTGCCCCCTCAAAGTGAAATTGCTTCCTACGGGCCTGATAACGTCTTTTCGGAAGACGTTATAATTTATAAAAATTTTTTTCTCCATAGATTGATCCTAATAGGCTTTCGTACCGAAGAATGTATGACGTATAAAACGTATAAAAATATATAAAGGAAGAACCGGGTTGAAATCTAAAATTCACTCTTTTCTGCTAGCGCTGAAAAGAAGAATTATGTATTGCATTTGTGCAGTGTACAGAGAGATTCATGGCACTGTACATGTATTTATTTATTTCTGTGGTACAAGCAATATCTTTATTTTTATTAATTTGTCTTCCCCGAGCAACTGTGCGACACATTTGTGGTATGATCTACTAAAGCTTCAACTTAATAGAGCATCATGCCAAAAAAAAGTAAACAAAATGTAGGAAGAAAATTTGCAGATGACAAATTATTTGTAAATAACTTTCCCAGTTCCTGTCGGTAAGATGTGACAAATTTTTAACAAGAACATTGATCTAATTATAGGTGTAGTAAATATTTTGATATATGATCAGTGAACACAAGAGCTTCAGTAATTCCTAAAATTAGAAAGAAGTTGAATTTTTTATATGATAGTTTTGTATGATACCCAATCGTTTATTTTGAGTGAATGAACTTAATTTCATTTACTGTATTGTATTCACTTTATTGTTGAGGTATTGTAAATGAATTTTTCAAGCTAATTTATTTTCATAGGTTGTCATGGCACAAGTTGCCGTAAGAGATGTTTCCCTCACCTCTCACATCAGAGACCCTGGAGCCAGGGTGAGGGAATTATGTAATTATGCCTGTAAGGTGGAGATTGACCCTCAGATTCCCCCTAGGAGGTACCTCAGATCTGGTCATGAAATGCTGAGGATGGCAAAAGTCTACCAGGATGAAAAAAACTATGAGCAAGCATTCATTCTGTATACAAAGTTCATATCGTAAGTTTTTTGATTTACTCTGTCAGACAATGAAAACAGTTTATTGTATTGTCTAAAGAAATATGTACTAAATTAAAATATTTAGAGATATTGTAGAATACTTGAAGTTTTGCAGTAAAATTTATGATTTTAAAAACAGTTTTTAGGATTTTCAGCGCAAGAAATTTTTTCTTACTTGGCGTAATCATTTCCAAATGTATGGAACGCCAAATTAACATATTATATTCAAATATTTGAACCTATCTTCAATTAATTATACCTATCTTCAAATCAATTGTACCTATCTTCAAATCAATTGTATCTATCTCCAAATGAATTAAAGATAGGTTTAATTCAATTATACCTATCTTTAATTCATTTGAAGATAGGTACAATTGATTTGAAGATAGGTACAATTGATTTGAAGACAGGTGCAAATGCCATGAATTAAAGATAGGTATAATTGATTTAAAGATAGGTGCAAATGAATTGAACCTATCTTTAATTATAAAGATACTGACAATAACAACTACTCCCCATAAAAATTCACTGTGCAGTTCCCTCCATGTTCAAGTCATTGTTAGAGGGAGCTTTCATTATTTTCAATAACAAAAAACGAAATGAACCTAGGTATAATTGAATTGTACCTACCTTCAAATCGTCTGTGGATATGTTACGATTGTACCTATCTTCAAATCAATTGTACCTATCTTTAAATCAATTGTACCTATCTTCAAATGAATTGAAGATAGGTATAATTCAATTAAACCTATCTTTAATTGAATAGAAGATAGGTGTAATTCCATTAAAGATAGGTATAATTTATTTGAACCTAGGTTTAAATATTTAGAGATAGGTATGATTATTTACACCTATCTTTAATTCAATTGTACCTATCTTTAGTTCAATTGTACCTATCTTCAATTCATTTGGAGATAGGTACAAATATTTGAAGATAGGTTCAAATATTTGAATATATGTTAATTTGGCGTTCCATACAAATGCAGCATAAAAGCATGCAGTCCAATCTGCAATTTCTCAGAGTAACATGAAATTTTTTTATATATGTAAAGGCATTAGAGGCTCTAGCGTGACATTGAATTCAAAGCCCTAAATAAGCACTCAAATGTATTATGATTCCTAGGGTCCAACAAAGTAAATTCTTCAACAAAGTGTTTTGAACTATATTACAAGAATCATTTAAAACTACTACTATAGGTCAATGTAGGAGTGGAATCACAGGGATGAATGAGGGTTGCCAAGTTCTATTTCTAAGCTAGTACAAACGAGATCTCTAAGGGCAGGATTTTATCTTTCTTACACTCAAACATATTGAATGATTATTTGTTTATCATTACTAAAGTTTTATCAAATCAATTGAAGTTGTCATAAGAACCCAAACATATTATATAAATTTCTTATACTTCCATTCTAGGACTTCAAATCTAAAGCCTTTTTCTATATATAAATCTTTTTCTATAGTGATTGTTTTATTGTTTAATTAATTTTACACTTAAAGTGTGTATTCACCTTGACCTTGATGTAGGGAGAGGGCTAAAAAAAAGTATATGCGTGCTGCATAATCCCATTCACTTTTTGTGAATAAAATTATGTATAAAAAAAATCTAAAGCCACAGTTAAAACAAATGTACCATATACAAGTGTATACTGCAAGTGTAAATCCAAATGTTAAAGATGAAGGAGATAAAACATTTATCAAAGCGTGCACTCAAATAACCATTGTACTGTCTTGTGTATCACTTACATGCTTACATTTAGTTATCTGTTGTGACATCACAAAATTATTTATGACATCATATTATACAAGATAAGAAAATCTTACTCTGTAATACATGGGTTGCATTATGTCTTACATCATCATGAATGAGAGGAATTCTTATTTTCTCTATAAGCAGTTTATTTTCTAGAGCATTAAAATTATGTTTCAAATGGTCTTCAAGGTAAATGGCATTGTATAGAGGGAAAAATAGCACCTAAAAAAGATAATACATGTAATAAAAATTAAAAAAAAAGTTCGAAATACTCATTGATACGTTTAGTGATGATAAAGTCTCTTGTGTATTAGGTTTTTTTCCATGGCTTTTGCAATTTTCAGTTGTTTCAACAAACATATGACTTTCAAATTTATCTTTAGTCTGTTTGTGGAAAAATTACCCAAACATCCTGACTATAATTCGGCTCCTGCTGGTGATGTTGTGGCAATAAAGAAGGTAAGTCTGTGTAGATATTTTTTGTTTTATAATCTGTGCTACATACATGTATATTTATATCATCATTGCAGAAATTGGAACACAGCGGACTTAAGCAGAGTGTGATATATGCTGAAACTTGAAGTGATTATTTATTTTACTTTATAGAAAGTAAAGCTTGTGTTTCCTATTGCTGAAGAGTTGAAAACCATTTTGAAAAAGAGATACACAGAAATCGAAAAGAGACGTGTAGAGGAAGAGGTAATAAGAATGGAAAATCCATAAAAAAAATCATTTCATTTATGTTTTTGACTTAAATTTATTTCTGAAATTGTAAATTATAAACACTATTGCTATATTCAAATATGCCTATCACTTTGACAAGAAATAATTCAGGAATTGTCT